AGGGGGATGACGAGGGTGTCCCACCCGTCAGCCAGCGCGGGGAGAGGCGACGGCGTGGCATGTGGGCTGGCTGCGTGGGCCGCGCGCGGTCGGGCCAGGCCACGCGTGTGAGGCCACGAGCGCTAGCAGGCCAGCGAGGCCGGGAGGGCGAGCTGGGCCAGCAGTTGGGAGCGTGCGGGGTCTGGGGGCGAGCTAGGCCGACTCGGTTGCTTGGGCTGGTATGGCTGTTGGCGAGCTGGGCCAAGGGGATGGACAGGCCACAAGCTGGGCCAGATGGCCTTTCTATTTTTCTCTTCCATTTCCTTTCTTTTTATTTGTTGCCAATTGGTTAGGGTTTGATTTATTTAGCTACTTTGTGTAACAAAAATAGTTGTAGTTTTTGTTATACAAAAATATAAATAGTTTTCACCATAAGCTTTTATTCTTTGGTTTGATTGATATTTACTTTATGGTTTATAACTTTAAAGGAGTTGTTAAGCATTACATAAAGCAAATGGAGATCCAAATCACAATTTGAGTTAAACAATGTATGCAACATTTTATTTGTTAGGATTTTTAATAAACATAATTAACAATGACATGCTGTGCTCATGAGATTGTCTAGTTGGGTTACAACTAATGCAACACCTAGGGTTAGCTCCTACAAATGTCACTCATCATCACATGGGGTTTTGAAGAAAAATTTTATAGTTGTGATTTTTTGTGTATGGATTTTTGGGTTGTTACACTGTCCCTGTTGACGTCTACAGGGTCGGCGGAACCCGCGTGAAGAAAAAGGACCCGGCGATCTTGGAGGACTTTTTCTCCTTCTCATTCTCCTCTTTTTCCTCCACCGTAACCCATGCTTTCCCTTAGCCTATAAAAGGGGAAGCAGGGCATCCCATGAAGGGGACTCGAACCTATCGAACCCTGAACCGATCAAAACACACAAGCATACAGCCGGGAAGCGACCGAGTTCTCGGCACCCATTCTCTTCTTTCACCAGAGACTTGGGACCTATCACTCTCTCGACCGTTTGTAACCCCTACTATGAACTTTCAGTGCTAGTAACACGAGCAGTAACAACGAACTGGACGTAGAGACATTTTGTCCGAACCAGTATAAACATCGTGTCCTCTTAGCACACCATCCGAGCCAGACACGCAATATTAGAAATTTACTAGTTGGTGGCAACTCGAAACACCGACACTAGCTACCCAGCTTATAAAAAGGTATTAGTGTCAGTTATTAAGAAGCTTAGAGGATCAAATGTGGACTAGCTAATTTGTTTTCTTACAGTCAACACATTCAATGCCTCATTTGTTACGGTCATTCACGTATGGAAATTTCTGCTTACAGTAGACAATGTTTCACATATATAACCATCGAGTACACCGCCAAGGCATATACATGAACTAAGATGTTGTTTGGTTTAACTAAATGTAACGTAGTTGCATTATGGATGGTATTTAGTCCCGTTGAAATTATTTGTTTCCACCTATCCATAATCGATTAACATTGTATTTTAGTTCCTATTCTATACAAACCTATAACTGCACCCTCTTCTTCTACAATAAGAAAAAACATGTCATTAGTGGCAGATTTAGAAACAAATGCTATGAGGGGTTTATTTCCTTCATCTTTTACCTCTACCCCCTTCTTTTAAGCTTCCATGGCTGCAATTTATAGAGGGGTTTAGGAGGGGCTCTACGATTGCAGCAACAAGATATGTGGTGGGAAGGGGGAGGAAGAGGAGGACTCGAGCCCCCATCTGAGGCGGTGCTAGATCCGTCTCTGCATGCCATCTACCTTGAGACGCGGTAGGCCTACGCTTGCAACTGTGCTCATGCAGCCACACATGCTTGAAATCAACATGAGAAACTCTACTAGGCTAGGGATGGTAGCGATCAGGTAAGGTGCGGGTGGAGTAAATTTTCGCTCGACGATAGAAGTTTCATACCTACATTGTACCCATTTGTAACATTTGCACCCGTACCAACACCCGATGGGTATGATAACCGCGGGTAACCATATCCACAAGTTTGATTGTCACTAGAATAGATGATACCCCACCCATGAGTAGGATGCTATCCCTAGCTCAACCCCGCAGCCACCCGCTTTCTCCCTGCCACACCTCTTTCAAATCTATCGTTGCTTTCATGGATTTGCACTAGGCATGGGACGGAGAAGTGAAGAACAATGGTGCCATTGCACTGAGCATTGGGACATCCATGACAATGGCAAGGTCACCAGTGCATTGGATCTTGCTCTGCTGTACAGATTAGGAACTTCTTTTGTGTGTGTTACATTTTTGTCATGCATGTATAGATTGCTCTCCTCACAAATTATCAATTTCTTTTGAAATCAGATCGATGGTTTTTTTTTTGGAAGCCGTGTCTTTCATTGTTCGTCATATTCCAATCTCAAATGTGTTCATATTCAAATCTCAAATGTGTTTTTATTTTGCAAACTCTTGGAAATCATGATATCCAATAACAGTAATTCAATCGAACAAAGGAGTAATCACCTATTATGCCACCAAAAGCGATCCTGTTATGTTGCACTTGCGTAACCATTTTCCACAAAACAGACACTCCACACTGTTCGCTCGTTGGTTTCAGCTAGAAGCTTATCATCCAGTCAATAGTGTTTTCCTTTCACAACAAACCAGCACCAGCCAAACTTATCAGTCCAGAAACCAACCAGTAAACAAGCCAACTATCTCATCTTGAAAACACATCTCATACTTTTTTTCTACTATTAAAGTACCATTCCATTTATACACACACCAAATTGCCGAAGAAGGCTACCTCTGCCGATGGCAGCCCGGCACAGCCGTCGCGGCTGATCCGATCCGTTGGTAATCATAGCCTTTTTCCAAGATAACCTTAGCAGCACATGCGCTGCAACACCATATAGAGCCCGTTTGGCTAGGCTCTCGAGCGGCTTCGGCTCCTCTGACTCCTTCCCTGTTCATCTTCTATAGCGATATTGTTCATCGGAGTCGTTTTTCTCTCTCCTCCTCATTGACAGCGCCGGAGCCAAAGAAGCTCGTTTTTTTCTCCTCCGGCTCCGGTTCCTACGCGCTACAGTTGCGCTCCGACGGAGCCCGGCCAAACACGCCGATAGTTAAGGCTCGGCGTTTGGCACATGGAGGAAGGAGGAGGAGCCGCAGCCCCGGACCGGACCCCACCACGGCACGACAGCCCACAGGGATCCCGAACCGCACGAGATTCTCGCCACCACCACCACATCAACCATCCCTCCCTCCTCACTCCCGTCCCGTCGCAGCACAGGCACAGCACGGCACGGCACGGGCGCGGCGCGGAGCACGCACACTCCCTTTGGCCCCTGCCATCCCACTCGCACAAGAGCATCGCGGAGCACGCAGCAGACAGGGCGAACAAAAACTGCCCCCCTTCCTCCTCCCCCGCTCCCGTCGTCGTCTCCTTTCCTCCCCCTTTCCCTCGGCGCCCCGCATCCTGCATTACCCCCCCTCGCGCGTCCCTCTCCGATCCCTCACCCCCAGATTCCTCCTTCCTACGCTCGCGGTCGCGGGCGTCTCCTGCCCGCCCGATTTCGCCTCGGAGCTCGTCGTCCCTGGTGTGCTTTTTTCTTCGCGGCGATTCGCTGCGCCTCGTCGCCGGCGACTGCAGGCGGCCGAGTGCAGCAGGGCAGGTCGGCTTCCACGGTCGTCTTCGCTGTTTCGGAGGTGGCGCCCACCTCCACCGTCTCCTCTGCCGCCTGCCTGCTCTAGTGGGTGCCGGACCTGGGGGTGGAGCGGAGATCCACCCGGGCTTGGATTGCTTTCGTCGTCTTGCTGGTACGTAATCCGAACTTGCTTGTAGATAGATTGTGCTCCGAGTTTGTATTGTTGTGCGGGGCGTATTAATGCGACTACTGTGAGTAATCAATTCGGAATCTTGCTTTGTCTACACTCAGCGTCAGCTACCTGTGGATTTGCTTACTATCTGCTGCGCTATTCCCGTCCGTCCATAGTTCGATTAAGCTGTTATTTTTCCGGGCGTGATCAGTGCCAGTTGGCGCCACAGGATTTGGTATCCGAAGGTGCGCGTGTAATTGATTTCACAAAAATCTCGAGGTTTCGGCTCAATGCCCTGCATCTTGTCGTTTCCTGCATAAGTTACAATTGGTATAGAAGTTAGCTGGGCTATATCAGCATTGTTAGTGTTGAATACTCCATAGCAGGTTAGCCTGGTAGTTTATGCCACCAATCGGAATGGTACGCAATGGATTGTGCATATTTTATGCCGCCAGCACATATCACACTCATTCAAAATGGTTATTGCGTGAAAGCTCTGAAAGAAAGCTGCATACCATATGCCCAGTGTTTTTGCATACATGGTTTTGATTAGATACTTTGTCCATATGGCTGTTAGTGTTGCGGACAAGCTTTTGGTCAACATCGTGATTAATTTTCCCTGTTACTTTACCCTTTTGCGTGTAAGCAGTTCTCATGAAAATGATGGTACAAGATTGAATAAAAGCTATTTTGGGATCTGTTTCTTTTGATTTCTATATGATCCCAGCAAACCTTTGAAATGATGCCTATTATACTTTGAGTAAATTGTTTCCAATTTGTGTGTTTTTAGAGTAGCTACTTGTAATGGTTACTCAATTTGTAGAAAATCTGACACTGAACATTCGCTTGCAGTCAGCTTAAGAAATTATTACGATATTTTGTTTTAGTGCTCCATTATTGTTATTGACATCACCTCGTGCTTCGATATGGTTTCAGGCTTTGAGGTGGAGATGGCACTAAGTTGAAAGTTTTATCACACAAGGAAGCAAGAACAGGAAAAATTCATATTTCAGTGTTGCACTCTGTGGAGGGTTCATTGTCGGTCCACCAAACTACTACAGTACTGGAGGGTTTTTGTTGAAGTGCTCCTCGAGTTCACCATCTCTAAATTGTCATAGGCTCATAGCATTGTAGCTGATCAGTCTGCATGATCTTGCTATGAGTACATAGATAAATCATCATCATATCTGTGTTCAGTATGCCACCATGGTGGGGAAAATCTTCATCCAAAGAAGTGAAAAAGACTGCCAAAGAAAACCTCATCGACACATTTCAGCGTCTCATAAGTTCAAATGAGCAAAAGGGAAGCAGAAAATCACGAGGTAGTCGTAAACATGGTAAAGACACAGCTGGTGACAAAGGTTGCTGGTCTACTGCCCAATCCCGCTCAACATCACCTTCAAAAGAGGTCTCACGGTGTCAGAGCTTTGCAGCAGATAGACCACCTGCACAACCACTTCCTCTTCCTAAATCACGTGCTAGGGTGACGCGTACTTCTTCTGATATTACCAACTCAAAGTCCACTTTGGAAAAGCATGGCAAAGGACAACTGCTTCCACTCCCCCCAATTCAGCCTAAAAAAAGACCTGAAGCTACTGATCCTGTTACTGAAGTAGCTACTGCTTCTGTCTCCAGCAACTGTTCTATTGATAGTGATGATCCTGGTGATTCTCGGCTTCAGAGCCCTGTGGGAAATGAGGCTGAAAATGCGACTAGAATTACTGCAACAAGTAGTTCAAGGTATGCCCTCAGGTGCCATGAATAATTGTTTCTTCTTTTATAGGTTTCTGTAATTACTTGAATTCATGCTTATGAATTTTTATTACTCTTGTGAAGTGTTTTGCACAAAGAGCGTTCTAGTGCTATCACCAGAAAGAACACCAAGGAAGTTGCAAAGCCAAACAATGCTTTTCTCAGTAACCAAATCCTGTCAACATCTCCGAGAGGTACCATTGCTGATGGTTATCAATCCAATTTACAAAGCCCCCGACAGATTGCCCTGGAGAGTGCTCCGAATAGTTTGATGTCAAGCCCTTCTCGAAGCCCAAGAATTATATGTCCTGATCAGATTCCAACTTCAGCTTTTTGGGCAGTAAAGCCTCATACTGATATAACTTTCCTTGGGTCTGGTCAGTGCTCCAGTCCAGGTTCTGGTCAGACATCTGGGCATAATTCAGTGGGAGGTGATATGCTAGGCCCAATCTTTTGGCAGCCTAGCCGAGGTAGTCCAGAGTGTTCACCAATTCCAAGCCCAAGAATGACAAGTCCTGGTCCAAGTTCTAGGGTGCATAGTGGAAGTGTCTCTCCTTTGCATCCAAGAGCTGGTGGGGTCACTCCTGAATCTCCAACAAATCGACATGCTGAAGGGAACAAGAAGCAAACCCACAGATTGCCACTTCCGCCAATAAGCACTCCTAATATTTCTACCTTTTTGCCAAACAGCTCTACCCCAGCTAGTCCTATATCTCGTAGTCCTGGTAGAACAGAGAATCCACCGAGTCCTGGTTCACGGTGGAAGAAGGGAAAACTGATTGGCCGTGGGACATTTGGCCATGTATATGTTGGTTTTAACAGGTATGCCTTTTTCCATTTCCATGCATGGAAATGGGTTATATTCATTTCAGTTTGTATGCTGATTGAAGATATGGTTCTGTGCAAATTTACTTGGGCTGTTTATCAAAGCTTCAGTTTTTGTAGGTAGCCACTAAGCCAAATTACATGTTGAGTTTTGAATGTTTAATTTCTGGCTTCTTGTTCTTGCATTGCAGATGTGTTTTAACTTTTAAGTGCTGCCACTACCATATAAATAATGATGTTTTAGCATGTTACTATATGTGCTCAGCTTTATTAATAATTTCTCTTGCAATCTATCACTGGTTTGTGAAACCACAAGTAATACCATGATTTATGGATTGGTATATATGGAAGGAGTCATTGACGCGAATGCTTTACATAAAAAATTCAGATTATCTTCTATTTGTGCTCTGCAAGAAATTTGGTCTAGAATAGAACATATATTGAAATATAAGTAGTAACAAATTGCTCCAGATCTTAGTTGTTTTCTCTTGTATGGTGCCTTCGTTCCTTTTACCGTCAATGATGTGGTCCTGTGAAAACATCATGTCAGATCTCACAATAACTCTAGCTATCATCTGTCTTGACTAGTGTGCACTAAATGTTTTGTTGTACTTGGTCATTATTTGTTTCTTCATTTTAATTGTTTATTATGATCTATTTCAGTGACAGAGGTGAAATGTGTGCGATGAAGGAGGTTACCCTTTTCGCAGATGATCCTAAATCAAAAGAAAGTGCAAAACAGCTGTGCCAGGTATGGTATTTTGTACATGTTCGCACTCAATATTGAGAATGTACGTTCATCATGCCTCATGCTGGACTTTCTCTTTTAACATTATTATTTCATTTCACAGGAAATATCACTTCTGAGCCGACTGCAGCACCCAAACATTGTGCGATACTATGGATCTGAAACTGTATGAATTGCTGCCTTCAGTTATTAATCTACTGCTAATAGACTACAGTATTCATACTATTGTTGTGACTTTCACATTTCCATGATTGCATTGGTAGCTGAACAGTTTATGTTTCCTACTCTTCACTACATTCTTCCTGTAGGGAATAGCAGCAAAAGAAAAGAAAAAAACGCACGAAACCTGCAGTATTGTATTTCCTCTGTCCCAAAAAGAATGCAATTCTAGGTGCATTCTTGGCTGAAGTGTTCTAAGTTTGACCAAATATATAGTTAAAAATATTAATGTTTATGGCACCAAATAAGTATACAACAACAACAACAACAACATAGCCTTCCAGTCCCAAGCAAGTTGGGGTAAGCTAGAGTTGAAACCCACCAAGAGCCTCAAGTCACGGTTTAGGCACTTCAATAGCTGCTTTCCAAGTACTCCTATTCAAACATAGATCTCTAGGTATATCCCAAGCTTTCAAATCTCTTTTTATTGCCTTCCCCATGTCAATTTCGGTCTTCCTCTACCTCTCCTCATATTATTAGCTTGGCTTAGGACTCCACAATGCATTGGTGCCTCTGGAGGTCTCCTTTGGACATGGCCAAACCACCTCAACCGATGTTGGACAAGCTTTTCTTCAATTGGTGCTACCTCTAGGCGATCACGTATATCATCGTTCCGAACTTGGTCCATTCTTGTGTGACCACAAATCCATCGCAACATATGCATTTCTGCACACCAAATAAGTATACTATTAAAATATGTCTCATGAGAAATCGAATGATACTTATTTGGTATCTTAATTTTGATACCTTTTTATATATAATTAGTCAAACTCAAGATACTTTAACTCGATACTGTGCTAGAATTGCATTCTTTTCTGGACGGAGGGAGTATATAGTTGCTTTTCCCCATGCATCATGTGATTCTTCTGAATGCATCTCCATATTATATTTCAAAACAGGTTGATGATAAGCTTTACATATACCTGGAGTATGTTTCTGGTGGATCTATACATAAGCTTCTCCAAGAGTACGGCCAGTTTGGTGAACAGGCCATTCGCAGTTATACTAAGCAAATACTTTTGGGCCTAGCTTATTTGCATGCAAAGAATACAGTACACAGGTAACATAATTTGTATAGTTTCCCTTTTTCAGTCTATTATTTTATGCCTACTAGGGGTTTGCTATTTTTATCTTTTCTTTTACTTACTCTCTTCCTAAATTTGCAGGGACATCAAAGGTGCAAACATATTGGTAGACCCTAATGGCCGTGTAAAGCTTGCTGACTTCGGGATGGCAAAACATGTAAGTTTTCTGCACGTTTTTTTATTCCTATTTGTAGAAAGCAACTCAATTTCAAACAATAGTATTTTATCTTCACCGGAGGAAATGTGATGCCTTTTGTACCTGCACCTCTACTAATAACTACTTGTGCTAGTTCAACCTCTTCTATAAGAATTAACCACTTTATTAGCCGTTGGTGTCCCTGTTAGCATATCTTCTGCTTGGATTTTCATTGTCAGCCATGCTTCACTGGGCAGTAGTTCTGAAGTCTTAGATATGGCTCCAACTTAGCTGAGGGTTTTTATTATACCTTGACTGGTTGTTTTGTTGACTGTGTGTAACAAGTTTCATCTAAATTTGAGAATGCTTTCTCCCCTCAAGATATTATTCTTATATATACATAATTTTAACCTGCGAGGTCTAAACATGTGTTATGCTGTTTTATTTTTTAGATCAATGGGCAGCAATGCCCTTTCTCATTAAAGATCAATGGGCAGCAATGCCCTTTCTCTATTTAGGGTGGCCTGTACTGGTTTATATTATCTAGGAGTTATAAAAATGCTAGTGGATGTAACAGTAGCCCTACTACTGGATGGCTCCTGAGGTATTGCTGCAAATCTTGCATTGTTCCGCCAATCAGCAGTTCAAAATTGTATTAACTTTAGTTATTTTGGTCGGGTTTATATATCTTGACCTTCTTTGCTTATGTTGTGATAAATATGCAGGTTATAAAAATTGCACATGCTAGTGGATGTAACCTTGCAGTTGATATATGGAGTTTAGGATGCACAGTCCTAGAGATGGCTACTCCATGGACAAAAACCACCATGGAGCCAATATGAAGGGGTTAGTGTTAGACTTTAAATTAGCTATGATTTTTTTCACACAACTATTTCCTTATGCTGCATCTAACCTTTGGGAGCCATGGAGTGTATGATTTTTCATTGCTGAAAAAATTCTTGAAGGTTGCTACTAGCGGAAGAGCAGTTTACAATTGTTTCTTTTGTTTTGTAAGATGCTTGTTAAAAAGTATAGCAATCTTTTTATCAATTTTAACCTGGATGCTAACATATCTCTTTACTTTTTTACTTCTCCAATAGATTGCTGCGATGTTTAAGATAGGAAACAGTAAGGAGCTTCCGCCAATACCAGATCACCTCTCAGAAGAGGGGAAAGACTTCATAAGACAGTGCTTGCAACGCGATCCATCCAGCCGTCCAACAGCAGTGGATCTTTTGCAGCATCCATTCGTACGAAATGCACCACCACTTGAAAAATCATATGCCTCTCATCCACTGGAACAGTTGACGGCTATATCATGCAGAACAAATTCAAAGGTATCAACTGTTAACTCGTGCTGTAACAATGTTATCTTTCAGCTAATTAACTTGCATGCTTTATTAGCCTGCAGACGTGTCTTCAATTGTGCAAATTTTATGAGTATAAAATATTGCTGTTTGGTTTTAGTCCCCCCCTATTTTGCCTCCCTGTGGCTTGTAAAAGATTAACATTTGTCTAGAAGGTCTACTAAGCATACTAGTGACCTACATAGAATGTTAGGGCCCTATCAATGTATAAGCAGCTGTTTGTTGTTTATTTTTTCGCTGTTCATGTGATTACTACATTCTGTTTGGCTGTCATGTCATTTCAGGTGGTTGAGCATGCCAGAAATATGTCCTCGCTTGGTTTGGAAGGCCAATCAATTTTGCAGAGAAGAGCTGCCAAATTTTCTTTGCCAATTAGGTATCATATCAATTTTTTAAAATTATCTGTTAAGTTTGTAAGTTGAAGGGCGGGCCTGGTGCAAGCGGTAGAGTCTTACCGCCTGTGACCGGAAGGTCCCGGGTTCGAGTCGCGGTCTCCTCGCATTGCACAGGCGAGGGTAAGGCTTGCCACTAACACCCTTCCCCAGACCCCGCACAGAGCGGGAGCTCTCTGCACTGGGTACGCCCTTTGTTAAGTTTGTAAGTTGGTTCCTTTTATATGTCCATACGAAGCAACTTTCAGTGAAGAGACATACTATTATATCCTAATCTATCATTTGAAAATAGGATGTGTCAGTTGGAGCATTGTCCTAAATATCACTTATTATATGGTATCCTGGTCTGCCCTTTGTTTTGTCTATTGCCTTCTATAATTTGACTTTTCAAATCCCAATATCATTCTGTGCGAAATTAAATAGCAAAGTATCCACCTATATATGGCTTTATGTTTTATACTCTCTTCTGTAGCCTATACTACCGCAGTTTTGCTGTAACTTATTTTTCAATCTACCCAACACCACGCTCCTGTCACAAAATTTACCCATTCAATGAGTTTTCTTGTCTATCTCTATTAAAATGTCTGCCCACTAATTATTTACCTCTGTGCAGTGATATCCATATACGGAGTAATATATCTTGTCCTGTATCTCCATGTGGAAGTCCTCTTCTAAGATCAAGATCTCCACAACATCAAAATGGTAGAATGTCACCTTCTCCAATTTCTAGCCCCAGAACAACTTCGGGTGCTTCAACTCCTCTGACTGGTGGTAGTGGAGCTGTTCCTTTAAACCATTTGAGGCAACCAGCTTACAGAAATGAGGGCTTCACAATCACATCAAGAGGTTTTGATGACCACATACCTAGCCGGCCTGTTGATCCAGTACATGGACGTTTTATTCGAGTGCAGCAATTTTCTGCGGGTCATCAGGAGAGGGTAGTCTCTGAAGCTGACATTCTGAGCTCTCAATTTGGAAAGATGAGGCATGCAATGCCTTCTGAGCATTCCTCTCAGCAGTGCTTTGGGGATCATGTGAAGCTAAAACCTTCACTGGACTTGAGGTCTGGTCCTCGGCATCCTGGGCGCAACCATGGCCATTGATTCTATAGCAAAAGTTAATGGATAAGCTTTCAGTCGTGTCTATGTGATAGCTAGTGGTCCTAAGCTGGTTCATCGAAACCTTTAATTGTATCATAGTAGAAGAGATGTTCATTAATTATTTCAGATGCTGACAGCTGGCAGTGGATAAAGATTCTCCAATGTCAATCCCATATTCCCATTACTCTAATAAAAGGTATGTCCCTTGTCAGAATTTTCTGGTAATCAATGATTATATCTATCTTTCAAAGGATGAGAAAATTACAATCAGTAATGTATACTGTAGAATAGAAAATAACTGTTATAAGTTCTTTTCATTATCGACTACTTGGCTCGTTTACTAGCTCTATACAACGCAAAATGAACAAGTTACATGAGTGCAATAGTTTTGCTTAGTTGTTTAATGAACAAGTTCATTGTTTCTTAAAATGCGTCTGAATACTGATAAAAAAAATGCGTCTGAATAACATCATTGTTTGGTATACAATTTAGTTTTCAAACTGTATGCTTTGATTATTTTTATCAACTGGTTTTGGTAAAATTCTGAAACATAACCTAATATGGGAAATGGGTAGCCTGAGGTCTTGATTATTTCCAGTATCGCCATTCAATCTTCTATTCATGTAATGTGTGCACACTGAAATTTGTTGAATTGCCTTCTTGATTGACAGATGAAACATGCCCTGTCAGGAAGGGGATGTTGTATACTAGACTGTCCAGATACCGAAGGACCCAAAACAGTGACTCTGAACCTGTATACACTTACTCTCGTATTTACAGCAATTTAGTTTTCGTTTTCTTTTATGGGTTTGGAGGCCATTGTACAGAAGGGAACTCTCAACAAGAAATCCAGATTAAAAGGCACAGGAGAAAGCAAGTGAGCCATTCACCAACCTTTTCTTTTTCTTTTTAATCTTATAACAGATACATATATGCCGGCTGCTCACTGTAAAGTGTTGGTTCAGCTTTGGTTGTAATACCGGTTCGATCCATTAAACGTATCCGTTACTCTGAATATCATGTGAAGAGTCTAATCGTTAATCAAATTAACTGGTTCAGTTCTAAAGCAGATTGTTTCCCCGTCTTTTGAAATCTCTTTTCGAACGGGTGTATGCCGCTTGAGTCCTGACGAACTGGTGTACGGTGCCTGCTTCAAGATCACCACCAGTTCGCCACACCTGGCTTCTGGGATGGATCATGTGATGTCTACCATCCAGTGGTCCGGTGAAAATGCAGCTGTGGTAAAGGCGCCTATACCGCGTGCATCATGCATTTATCGCTTTGCACCCATTGCCTTCGCAAACGCCTTGGCGGCTTGCGAGTTGCGAGGCAAAACGATCAAGGAACAGCCCATGTGCCATGGCGTAGAGTACGCAGGCAGCAATGCATTAGCCATTAGGTCCCAGGGTCCCCCATCCAACATGAGTCTTTTACACCTGTCGTCCATCATCTTCATCCTCACTCCAATCATGGCGCTGCGAGAAGGCCACCACCCCACTAGGTCCACCATTGCTGCAGATTCAAATGAAGCACTGGAGCTTGCAGATTCAAATGAAGCACTGGAGCTGTTTTGATCCACTAATGGTTACGCTACGTTCTATGCCTGTTTTATCATCGGTGTCAAATTGTTACTCCTAAGCATGTATGTGATTCGCGATGCATTGGCGGCCGCTTTCTTTCATGTGTTAGCCTTAGTTTCCAGGCGGCATATCCGATGAGAATGCGAATCCAGTGCTAATTCTGTTGAAACTAAATAAAACCAAGAAAAATCTGAATCAATTTGACTTCGATGCAAATTTCACAAGATAGATAGATTCACATTCTCGCATGATATCTGCCCTTTCTTGCCAAGATCCCAACGCATAAAAGGAGACGGGAACCCTTGCAGCAAACGGTAATAACTTAAATCTCCACGATGGAAGAAAAACATACACAGCTGAGCTCGGTACAGGAATACACAAAGTTCTGGGTTTAGACAACAGAACAGTGCAGCAGTGAGCAGTCTTGAAGAGAGACGAGGAATCGACAGAGGAACTAGGCGTGGGCAGACAAAGACATCACAGGAAGACGCTCGTTCTTCGGACTGGCATGTCTCGGCACGGCCGCGGCAGCTTAAGACCTGCTCTTGAACGGGATGGCCCTGATGATCACCTGGTGGTAGATGGCAGCCAGGGCAGCGCCAATGAAGGGGCCGACCCAGAAGATCCACTGCAAAACAATCATAGAAACAGGAAGAGGTTATAACAACTCGGTTAGACGATTAAACATGCATTATAAAGGACCAGAATTATATAATATCCCGTACATAGACTAGATTAATACATGCCAACTACACATGGATGGAGACAAGCCTTTGTGATAAGATTAACACACAGCTATATAAGCCTATATATAATTATAGGTCATGACTGTCAATGGCATGCCACTGTGTCTACATCATTTGTAGTTTGGTGAGTGAATGATTAGTCGTAGTTTGGACGCGAAAGAAAAAATATGTCACCTCTAGTTAGAATCAGAATAGACTTTCTAGAGCATGCCACTATGATTGCTGCAAAATGGAAAGACACTGGCTACATGTCTGATATTTGGATGGAGACATTACACTGCGAGTGGTACCGAACTGTTGGAAATCGAAAGTTGGTGAGAGAGGAATCGAGAGTAGTTCCACTCACATGGTCGCTCCAGGCGTGATCCCTGTTGTAGATGATGGCAGCGCCAAGGCTCCTAGCTGGGTTGATGCCAGTGCCAGTAATGGGGATGGTGGCAAGGTGGACCAGGAACACCGCGAACCCAATTGGCAGTGGGGCAAGGATCTGTTTTCACCAAATAAGGATTTCATTCATGGTAAGTCTTAACACAATATGAAAATATATATTGAAGAGTATGCGTATATTTTCAATTTGTTGATACACAATATTAAATAATCAGCTAAATTCCAGTTCGAAAAGACATAAGACCTAGAGTTCATCAGTTCATTACATGTCGTTTCTTAATGTCATCAAAGATAATAAATACTTAAGGAGTTCATTTCATCAGTACGTGCACAATCTATGAGCTGCATTAAGTTCAACATCAGAAATTCATAAGTCAGAACACAAATTACAACCATCATCTTATATTTTAGTTGCAAATGTGAATTCAAGCAAAACTCTTAGCAGTTGAACCAACTAGGAAAGTGAAGGACGAATAGTACTTAACAGGAACATGGGAGTCCCTGGCATTCCTCTTGGCATCAGTGGCCGAGAAGACGGTGTAGACCAGGACGAAGGTGCCAACGATCTCAGCGCCAAGGCCATCACCCTTGGTATAGCCAGGGGCAACAACATTAGCACCACCACCGTTGCCCATGTAAAGCCCCTGCTGGAAGCCCTTCACCACTCCAGCTCCGCAGATGGCACCCAGGCATTGCATGATAATGTAGAAGATGGCCCTAGTCAGGGACAGCTTCCTGGCCAAGAACAGCCCGAAAGTCACAGCTGGGTTGATGTGTCCTCCTGTTGCAGTGGCAGGTATAACAACCATTAGTGGTGCCCTTGGTTGTTGTAGTTGTGTTCTTGGTTTATGCTTGCTGAATAGCATTGATTCTTTCACAGTTTGATGCTTTGAGATTAAGCATGTATCCAGAGTCAATACACAAAACATGACCAGAAAAGTACTATACAAATTCACAGCAATATATGTTTAATTAAACATATGTAGGAGTAGGACCACTATTTTTTTTTTTTAGATGGAATGACCACTGTAGGTTAACTGATATAGTTTTTCTATGTACACACCTCACAAGTTACATATAGGATCGTCTAATATGTCATTTCTTTGTTTACCTCGATTGAGTGAGGCTTAGCTAATTAAAACGATGCCTCTTACATTTTAATCTTTAAATAATTACCGACGAAACTGTGGGTCGAAGTGCTACATCAGAGATGAACTACAGGTAGCAGTTGATGATGCCTTTGCATAATTACAAGCAACACATGCTATAGTAGTACAGAGTATGTTACATGGTAAAAATATTTATTGCAGGATAAATTGATCTCCCTGGGTGCAAATAAGGAGTACAAACTGGTACCAAGCAAAAGGGAAGAGGCTTAAGATCTGTTTTCTTTTTAATAAAATAATGAATTAACAGGGGCTTGCTAATCCCCATGCTCACGGCATATAACTGTGAAGTGCTATATGCTGGAAACAAAGGAAAATCTTGTAACTGTAAGAAAGCTCTACTATTCCAAAAAGAAATAAGAAATTTAACAGATTCTCAGCTACTAATACTAATATCGGCTAAATAAAATTATCTTTTTTCTTCTTCTTTAGTGCTACCTACTGTAATCAGTATATCCAAGAGTAGCAAGTGGATTAGAAGTCTCACAAACTCAATATGCCAGAGCCATACAAGTTGCTCTTGTTTCTTTCCCCCAAACAAAACACTTTTGTTCCTATATCTCGGAAATCGCACACTAAAAGCTTTGCTAAGTCGTTACCATGGAGGGTTGTTACTGAGCTAAGCAAGCTAAAGGCAAAATTAGCCGTAGCAAAAGGGGGCGAGACCGGCCCGCGAGAGAAACCAACGCAAAGCGTAACAAAAAATTTGCAGTAAATTAATAAAGTTCATCACATGTTTAGCTGGAAATAAAAGAAGCCACTGCAGCAAGAAGGATGGAGAGGGAGAGCTGACCGGAGATGCCGGCGGTGCAGTAGACGAGCGCGAAGATCATCCCTCCAAAGGACCAGGCGATGCCCTGGATGCCGACGGTGGCGCACTTGGAGGTGGACTTGGAGACGCCCATGACGGTGAGGATGGTGATGTAGAGGAAGAGGAAGGTGGCGACGAACTCGGCGATGCCCGCGCGGTAGAAGGACCAGGACTTGAGCTCCCCGGGCTCGAACAGCGGCGCCGGCGGGGGCTCCTTGTAGTCCTTGTCGTCCCCGGCGCCCTGCGCCGCCGTCCCGATGGGCTGCCGCTCCGAGAACTTGTTGGCGCCCAGGCGCACGTCCTCCTCCTTCCCCTCCATTTTCGCTGCTCCTTGCCTCTCTCTCCTCTCTCCTGCCTTGCGGCGCGCTTGGGCTCGGTGGGTTCTTGAAGCAGCGGTGTATATGTCTGTGACTGTGAGGTGGTGTGGCTCGGCTGATTATAAAGGCAGGAGGGAGCTCGGGAGCAGGTCAGCTAGTGAGGAGAGTGAGCAAGGAAGAGACAGACACTGTTTTTTTTTTTTTTCCATTTTAGAGAAGGTGGCGAGCACGGGAGTGGGGGACGGGGCCCACGGGCAGTTGGTTAGATTCCGTTTTCTCCTGCATTATTTCCAGGCTTATCCAATTTGGTATTTTTCTTGTTTCTAGCGAAATAAATGTAAAAATAAATGTAACAGAGCTACAGAAGTGATGGAGTTCGCTTCTTTTTTAACCAATCCGATTTAGTGCAATAGTGGTCAAAAGAAATGGTTCATATATAGTATATATTTTGTCAAGAGAATGATGGAGAAGATATATGCTTGCTTGCTTGCAATATTCTTTTGTGCACTCATCGTTTGCTAGGCTCCCTGAGGCAGCCTTTTCCTCGCTTCGAAGGGATTCCCTCCCTTGTCTGTGTCCGGGATCCGAAGCCAAAGGCAGCGCAGAGCTCACTCACTGATCCAAAGCCACACGTACACAGCCACGCATGCAGGACAGCAACGGGGCGCGGAGCTTACCGTTCGAGCAACGCTGTCCTCTGCCTTTTGTTATCATTTTTCTGTGTCTCCATCTGCTCACTGTTCCAGTACCGTGCGGCATATGATATGATCGGCTTTAAACGGTGGCACGCTGATAAAGAAGGGCCACGGTACTACTACTACTGGAAGCAGCTTACGGAATTACGGCACGGAATTTACTGTTCCTGTCATTGCTTTTAGCATGTGCTGATAGCGCATGATTGATTTCATTCGTTGCGTTGGATGAGTGATGGAACGTGAACCTAACATCTTTGCTTTATCACTCGGTAATGGTGGTATGGTCGGTCGTCCAGAAGCATCGCCGGTGCGAAAACTGCAGTGGAATTCAATCCAAGCCCTACTCTGGTCATCATCAGCAACTTACCGAGGATAGAATCCCGAGGTATCCGCGGGTACTTTGAACTTATATGCGGTACCGTTTTAGCGAAAATAATATTGTTTTTTTTTCGCAACAAATCAGGATTATCATCAGCCGATTTTCCCGTTAGCCGAACATGACAAATTATCTTCAGTAGTGGAGCCCATATCCTGAATTCCTGATACCAGATATCCATGATCCATCCGTATGCTGAATTTTTTTTAGTCAAGCCATACGCTGCATGGCGTTTCTCCTTTCGATTGTGAAAAGTCAAAAGTCCTGATGGACCAAAACCTGCAGACCCATCCAATTGGTGACGACGCCGGTGAAAGGCAAGCATGCCAAACAGTCAAGGACCACCCATGAATGAATCGTGCTGCAAAATCTACTGCAACGGGAGGTAAAAACTTTGCTGCTGCCTGCAACTGGCAGGGTACTTACCACTCTCCTCTTTTTATATAAAAAAAATTCTCCTATAAAATTCGAAGGAATTGAAAAGGCCAGGAGACGTTATCAGTGATTGCCTTCCAATCAAGGGGGGCTGGAATCGTGCAGATTTTCCAAAGCGATTCAGGGCCCCATTCTACAGCTAGCGGCAAGGGAATCTTTACTTTACACCGAAGCGCGCTTGATGAATGATGATGATTGAGGCCTTGAGGTTGAGGGCAACGAGCCACTCCTGCGGATGGAAACGTAGGGCACGACAAGGAGCCGGAATTCCAGGTTGCGTCTCGGAATTTTTGTAGCCTGCACCACAAAGGTCATTTTCAAAGAAAGCAAAGCAGCTAAACAATTTCCCCTGGGTGAAAATTAAGAAATCTAGCTCAGAACGCCAGAGAGAGTTGAAAGTAATACGGAGTACTGCTTTTTCATCCACCAAGGGGTTCCAGTCTTCTCGATGGCTCACACACTCTGATATCGATCGGCCTACCACGCATGTGCAGTGTAGCGTTTACAAATCCTTCCAGCTGTGGAAGCAGATCATTATCCAAACTCTAGCAAGCAAGAATGTTGTTGTCTAGGTGTAAAGGTCCGGTAGTGATGAGAAAACAAAAAGAAAAGAAAAGATGAGTGATGTCCATAGAACCAATGATCGAATACTTTGTCCGAGTGTAAATATAAATTCATATAAGTTTGTCCTAAGTCGAACCTTTCTTTTTTTTTTACTTTGACAATCAATATCTAAAATCCAGGTATGTATATTAGCAACACGAGATACAAACTACTATTAGGTTTCCTATGAAAAATATTTGCATTCTAGTATATGGCTTTCAAAAGAACATTTAATATTTCTACAAATTGTGATAGGAGGAAATACGAACAACGATCTCCTTTGGACTTTGGTATCTGTCCGGCCACCTCTGCAGTCTGCAGATGATCCTTAGGGAGCAGCTTCTGAGCTCTGACGGAGCACCGTTGCGCGAGCAGAAAATGCAGAGATGCAGGAGACCAGGCCGTAGGAAGAAGTGCAGTACTGCCCGGCGTAGTGCCCGCCGTGTTTCCTCACCCAGAAACCTGAGCGTGCGGGGCTGCAGCGCAGGCCGCGTCACGCCCCCACCGGCCGTGGCGCGCGCGCCACACACGTACCTCCACCGGGCCGTCGGCCGTCGCGCCTGCATGTGCAGACCGAGACCTTTGAGGCCGTCAGGCCGCTGGCGCTGGCGCCTGGGCCCTGGGCGGCGCCACCAACTCCCGCGCCGTTGTCGTCAGCCTGCCATTTTCCGTTGCCTTGCCTGATTGCCTCCACCACGTCACCATCCAATCCACTGCCGTTTTTTTAATTTCGTGGTGGGAGTGGAACCATGGTGTTTGGAATTTTGGACATGGCCAGCGAAAGGAGTTCAAATGATTGGCTCGGCTGCAGCCTGCAGATAGGAGGGAGGAACTAACATAAATCCACTCCCACTATTAATAAAAACATTTTTTAAAACTATAAAAAGTTATTGGCGGGATTAGTTTAGTGGCCGAGCCCAACCAGCAACCACTGTCTGGCTCACGTACTTGGGGCGGTGCGGGTTGTTCGGTCATGCAAATGACTGGCTCTGCTTCATTCCCTGCTTCCGTAGCTACCGACTCAGCTTTAGTTCACAGGTCACAAAAAGGGAGCAGAGACAGGTCAGCCGATGAGCTTATTTTGAAAAGGTGCAAACATGAAAGTATGTTCTGTTCAGTTCATTCCTTTAAAATTTAGTCCCTATCTCATCGGATTTTTGACACATGTATGGAGTATTAAATAAAGACTAAAAAATAACGAATTACACAGATTGCGATTAATTTGCGAGACGAATTTTTTAAGCCTAATTAGCTCATGATTTGACAATGTGGTGCTACGGTAAACCTACAGTAAACATGTGATAATGACGGATTAATTAGGCTTAATAAATTCAGCTCGCCTAGTACTGAGGACTTCTATAATTTATTTTATTATTACTATCTGAACACTCCTATGTGACACCCCGATGGACATCCCAAACTTTAGGGCTGCTTCATTTGGTTGTGGCATACCTTTGGTTTGGGCTTGAGGTTTTGTGAGAGAGGAAACGCTATTAATGGCTTTCTTTTAGTTTTGAAAGCAAGCAAGACGACATTAGCCTCTCAATTTAAACAAGCCCTAGAAAACGGGTTTCAAAGAGGTTTCGCTATCGATATTAGGCATACCCAAAGCAAGAAAGTTAGCGTTCTGTCGACTTCTCACTGACAAGGGTCAAGGCGATATTAACATGTCTCGCCTGACCCTTTGGAGTGCGACCCATCCTCGCCCGCCAAGGGCCAGCTCTAATCTCGTCCGACCCCAAGGGAAGCGATGTGGGCCTGGGTCAAAACTCTAGGTCCATATCGCCGCCAGCCACTCTAGGTCCAGGCGTATGGGTCTGGGTCAAAACTCCAACACCAGAGAAGAGACGAGCACGACTCGATATAACCCGAGGCCATGACGGGCCATACCTGATGATTCACATCAAGAACAGCGTCAGGCGTACCGGTGTTGTTCTGCCTAACCCTCGTACGAACGCTGACATGCGCGTCAGTTCACCACGACGTCCGCCGGGACGGGATGGAGCGCCATGATCGACAGATGACGCCTGCGCATGGCACCAGTGATGGACAGGGCCGCGACGTGGAGCCGTCCCTGTTGACATCTACAGGATCGGCGGGACCCGTATGAAGGAGAAGGACCCGGCAATCCTAGAAGCCTTCCTCTCTCTCGTTCTTCTCTTTTTTCTCTGCTATAACCCGCGCTTTCTCTTGGTCTATAAAAGGGGAAAGCAGGGCACCCCATAAGGGAGATCCATATCCGCACAAGACCGAACCACGAGATAAAAACACAAGAGCACGACACAAGCACACGCCCGAGCGGCAATCGAGCTCTCAGCACCCGTTCATTCCTTTCACTAGAGACTTGTGATCATTTCCTCTCTCGCTGCTTTTAAACCCTATCGCAAAACCAAGTGTTCGAATATCGAGCAAAGAATAAATCGGACGTAGGGACGTTCCGTCCGAACCAGTATAAACCCTTGTATCTTCCGAGCACATCATCCGAACCAGATACGCAAATATAAATTTAGTCGTCGATGGTCCAAAAACACAGACAAGCATTCTGATTGACTGAAGATGACCCAGTTATACCTGTCGATTCTTTTTCGTTCTTTCCATTCCAAAAGTCGAGATGCCAGGATCCACTGCCAGCGAAACTGCAGCGACCGATGTTGTCCTTGTTGTATGATTCGCGATTAGGAGCAATTCTTCTCAGCTCTGCATGCATGATTTGCTTTGCTTTTCTGGGGCGAACGAGCATGCGGATGCGGACGACGTCCCCGTTGTCTCCCCGCTGTCCACCCTCTCCTGTCTCATGCTCGCTCTCGCCCCGTGAGATGGGACCGTGCCGTGATCTTCCGTAGCTTCTGAATGTTAACGTGCGGCCGTGGCTGGTTCGGCTGTTCGCAGGACT